GGGGGGGGGGGGGGGGGGGGGGGGGGGGGGGGGGGGGGGGGGGGCTGCAAGATGGAAGTTTCGCCTAGGGCGTGAAACTTCCTTGCACCGGCCCTGGAAGCCACCTCCACCCCAGAGGAGCTTTCCTCTAAGTGAAGTTTCCCACTGCTGGAGGGTGTAATTAGAGCAAATTTACTGCAAGGACTGAGCTAGTGCTGCCTACTGAATGGGGGGAGTGGATGCAGACACCAACCATCCCCCTCCCCCCACCCTGGGGCCACTCTCCCTCTCCACCCCCTGCCCCCACCAGTGCCTGGTGCAACTTTCTTTCCCCTGCCTGTGCTCTGCTGGGTATTTCCTTGTAGAGAAGCAAATCTGTGCAGCTACAAGTCAGGCCAAGCAGAGTTAAAAATGCACTCCAATCCCCTCTGCGTAAACCACCATGTAAACCTGTCCCACTGACCCATGCTCCTCGCTAATACCACTGCCTTAATCTGATTATGAAACTGGATGTGCAAGTGCTCAAGGGAGGGGCAACAGTATCCATCCAGCAGCTAGCCAGGGCCTTCCTCCGCCTCAATCAACGACAGCCGGGAGGGACCAAAGCAGCCTACATTGCTTGGAATCAGCTATTTCTCCCACCCCCACTTACAATTCCCCGTTTTCCTCCTTCCCAGCCTTGGTCAGTGAAGGAGGCTGAGATGCTGCCTCCCCAGAAAGGCCCTGCACTAGTCCGTGGCACAAGGGGCTGAGCCCGTCTCTACCAACCAGCACTGTCAGATGGCCACGCCCCAGGCTTCATTCAAAAGAGAGCTTGCAGCTGGAATGAGATGGGGGAGGGGGCTTACCAACATCCCCCCGACAAGGGGGCTCCATCAGCCTCAGCTGCCAGTGAGATAAAGGGGCACCTTTCTCCCATAGGTGAGATGGGAGGATGGAAGGAGGCCATTACTAAATACCCTCCACAATGTCACATGGAAAAGGGTCGTGTGGTCACTTGGGTCCCCCCAAGAACAGGGGTCACCACCCACATCTGCCAGCTCCAAAGAGCAGAGTGACATACAGAGGACTCGGCTACCATCCCACGCCACACTGCAGCCAGCGAAGTGGGACTTGAACTTTCCCAGCTAGGCCCCAGATCCATCAGGTCGTGAGGCCAAGACCCGAGAAACTCACTAGTGATCCAAGCTGAGCGGAAGGGGTCCTAACAGTTTAGATGGAAGATATGACAACCAACGCTTTGTCTGACACTCAGTGCTACCTGCTTCTCTCCGCTGAGGCAGGTGGGAGGGGGAGTTGCCCAATGGGTGGAAATATGCTCCAGCTGCTCGCTTACGCTATCTTGTCAGCCATACCCACTTTTTACAACGGTCTTTGTTACTTGCAGAGCTTGGAAAGGGAGGGAGCTTTCATGACTGGTGGATCCCATGGGTTAATTAAGGTTATGTGGGCCTGAGTGGGATGGAGCACAATACCATGCCCCTCTCAGCAACACCCTCAAATCAGCAGCTGCACCTTTGCAGTGCTTGAACCCAATCACAGCAGCTACCATCCCAAACTAAGCCTCATGTCCTGACGGAGCTAGCACCAGTCCCCTAAAAATCAGCCAATCCCCTCTGAAATCTAGTCCTCCAAAGTCAGATTGTCCACTCTAAACAAGCCCCCACCCAGACTGTAAATGTAAAGCCTATTTACATTTACAGTCTGAAAACAACTGTCCCCTACATGAATGCGACAGCAGTGCCACAAAACTCAACCAACTCCCGCACCCTCTCAATATCTTGAGCCTCCCATCCAGGAGCTCTAGGATCAAACAAAATCCCATTAGGGCCAGGACCGTTTTATACACCAGCACAAATGCACTTTTAGAGTATCAATAGAAGTGTACACACATAAAGAACGGTTCAAAACACAGCAAAATGGATTCCTCAGACTTTCACCTCAAGAGACCCCGAGTCACGTCTTTCCAACCTAACAGGCTAAATAAGTTTGATGGGCTCAGACTAGTTTGGAAGTTGACCCACAGTTCAGCACAACTGGTGAATTTCTTTTAGGAGAGGCCCAAACTAGAACACCAGCTGGTTAGAATTAAGGTGCATCAGCAGCCTGAGGGGCTCAGGACTGGCTCAGCCAGGGTTACAAATCGTCAGGATTGAGGTGCACTGTCAGAGCAGCATGAGTGGCCCAGGACTGTCCCAGCATGGGGTGGCTACTTGCAATTCCCCATCCCATCAATCAAACTCCCTTGTAATCGCCCTGCTGTGTCACACAACAGTACCACGAGGAGTTATCAGGCTAGCATTGCCACGGTAACTCCCAGGACACTTCAACAAGCTGGGCTGGCCCTGGGCTGGCTCTGGTTCATCCTAAGAGCCTCACGCTGTCCTGGGGACAACGTACACTAAAACACTCCAAAACCCACACAACAAAACGCAAGTGGAGCTCATTGCAGGATACCCTTCACTCCAGCAGCTCAGAGCAGGGAGGGACTTTGCATCTCAAACAGCACCCTGACAGGGTTTCTCAAACTACACAACACAGGACTCAAACAGCGCCACCCTGTGGAGAGCAAGGTAGATTATGGAAGATAAGCAAGAACAAAGAAACTTCCAGTTGAAGAGCAGAAAGAGCAATAATTCAACCACAGAACAAAAAAACTAAGCAATCCAGACAATATGGCAGAAGTGCCTGGAAACCTGGGAAGTGCCTAACTGTGTGCTCAGCTGCCGCCACCTGCTCTCAGTAGGCAAGGCCAGGGGGTTCAGACAGGAGGCTCACACTCTGCCAGGTAGATGCACCTAGGAATGCCAAGCATGGGTGCTTAACAGACATGAACCAATAAAGCCCACAGCCTCCCTGTGAGGTGGGTCAAGATTATTTGTCCCATTTCACAGATGGTGAAACTGAGGCACAGAGCAGCAAAGTGACTTGTCCAAGATCAGTGCCAGGAATGGAAGCCAGGGGATGCTGAGCTTGCAGCTCCTGGAGAGCAGAAGGCCAGGCTCCCCTTCAGCCCTCAGCACATTCCCAGCAGCACAGGCCTTTCCGAGCACCGCACCGGGTGCACATTCAACTCGCAAACTGCTAATGTGTGTCCTTAATAGGCTTCTGTGTCCATGGAAACCCAGGGCAGGGGAGGCGGGATTAGCGGGGCCGGCTGGCCCCAGCAGCCAAGTTCATGTGGCCAAGCGCTAAGTGTGAGTGGCAGTCCTTGGCGGGCGGCTATTGTTGTGGCTGGCTGTTGGGTGCCTCTCTGGGCAGAGCCCCCGCTGGGATCCCTGCCACTCCCAGGCCCATTCTCCTGAGCCTTTCTTCTCCGGGCCGCGCTAGCTTTGCCAACGCCGAGTTAGGCCTGAACAAAAGAGGCTGCTGGGGACAGCTTCTCTTGGGGCCTGATTACCATGGTAACCCTGGCCCCTCCAATCCCAGCTGCTGGATCAGATTAGTGCGAGCTCTAATGCTCTTCTGCAAAGCGCTCAGCACAGACACAAAGACACCCTGCTGCGGCCAGTCTCACCAGGAGCCGGCCTCACAGGCCTGTGTGAGAGAGGGCCGCCTGCACCTCTCGCCCCAGACACACACAAAATGGCCTTTCAATGCCGCCTCGCTCCCCCTGTGCTCACCACGCTGGAGCAACGCTACACCTCATACCACGGCATACCCAGCACAGCAGCTCAGATCTATGCCCATACCCCACGCCCGGCCTCCAAACATCCCCCCTCTCCTCCCAGATTCCACCCACCCATATTCCAACATAAGCTTGCCCAAAGAGGGAAGGAGCAATGAGCCATCATTGCTCTCATCAAAGGGGAGCGATGCACAAATCTCCCCCAATCTCACAAAAATAAGTAGAGGAGGAAGGGGAGCACCCAACCTCCCCAGAGCTCCCTCCC